AATCAATTTTAAAAATGATGTAGACAAAATGTTAAAACTTCTCGGGAATACTAAGTGACTCTTTCACTTCGGCATGTTCAGTGAAGCGAGATTTAAACACCTCCATTGTGTTGATTTATTTTGATTGACAGGACAAGCACGTGCACTTGGAGTGAATCGTTTGAACTTGAAGGAAAAAAAACGATGCTTACTGTCAAATTGATTTGTTAATAAAAAAAATGATTACTTTGACTGCCTGGAATATTAGAAAAAAAAAATTAATATATGAATTTTTATTCGATGCAATCTCTCTCTCTCTCTCTCTCTCTCTCTCTCTCTCTCTCAAGTTTCTATCGCTTTTACATTTGTCATGTTAAATAAAAACTATGACAACAAATTTATTATTTATTTAGTCTGAAATTCTAATGTATTACAAATAATTTGAATGATTCTATCCATTATCTTGTCCGAATATAATCATGGTCGGGAAATGTCTTCAGATATACATTTACATGTAAAACTTAGCTTAGAAAATAACCAGACAAAATAAAAACAACTAATAAATATATAATATTATCGCATAATTTTTTTTAATACGAGTGAATGGTGCAATATGTCAACAGACCTTTATAAATTAATAAAAAAAAATCGGTATTTTACACGGAATCGCCGCGTAATCGAAATATATATTATTATGTTCCCCAAACGAAGTTGGGGAACGTATTGTTATGTTCCCCAAACGAAGTTGGGGAACATATTGTTTTTACTCTGTTTCTTATTATTATTTTTCTTCTTCTTCCTGGGTACTTTTTTGTCCGCGAGTGATCTTGTAAACTGTTCACCCTAGGTAGGTAAAACCTTTTTAGGGTTAGTAGACATGTTATGTAGATTTGCGGAATCAAGGTCATTTTGCGTGCACGTGCTTGCAAGAGCGCGCACGTGCAACATGTAAAATGACCAATATAATAGATATGGCCGTAACTTTTCTATTCTTTGATTATATGCTTTGAAACTCATAATATATATATGTAAGAGTATTATACACATGATGACATGATCAAAATAGCAAGATCTCATGCGCATGCACGTGCGCCTCGCTCTGATTGGCTGAAACTAAAGTCTCAATATCTTTCTTGTTTTTCGACAAAATCCTTTGAAATTTTGAGCATGGTCATACACTATTAAGATCTACAGCATGACATATAAAAATTATCACGAAAGCATGCGCATGCATGTGTGCTGCAATCTGATTGGCCGAAACTTTAAATGCCTATAACTTTCTTGTTTCTCAACAAAACAGGATGAAATTTAGAATATGAATAGGTATAATGGACTTCTACATGATACTACTATAAAAATTGAATGCAAGGACATGCTTGCTTGCACTTGCGCACGCGCAATGCGTAAAATGAACAATACATTTGAAAAACGGTAAAATTTATAATTTATGACTTTTAATTGATTCTTGGAATATAAAGATATGTTGATGGTTTACACAACATGCCATCATCACCTTGCATGTGCATGCACGTGCGTTTGCTTGTAATACGTTAAATTACAAAAAGATGAAATCATTGTAGCTTTAAACATTCTTTTATTAAGAAATCCTGCGATACTGAACATATACTAAAAAAAGTTCTAAAGGAAATTGGCACAAAAAGGGAGTTGGGGAGCGTTTGGGGAACATCTGTAACGGTCCCCGTTACAATTAGAACTAGTTTTTACTCTGTTTCTTATTATTATTTTTCTTCTTCTTCCTGGGTACTTTTTTGTCCGCGAGTGATCTTGTAAACTGTTCACCCGAAGTAAGTAAAACCTTTTTAGGGTTAGTAGACATGTAATGTAGATTTGCGGAATCAAGGTCATTTTCCGCGCACGTGCTTGCAAGAGCGTGCACGTGCAACACGTGAAATGACCAATATAATAGATATAGCCGTAACTTTTCTATTTTTTGACTAAATGCATTGAAACTTAAAATATAAGTATATATTAGTTCTATAGGTATGATGACATGTTCCTCGTGCACGTGCTTGCAAGAGCGCGCACGCGCAACACGTGAAATGACTTATATAATGGATATAGCCACAACTTTTCTATTTCTTGATGAAATGCTTTGAAACTCATAATATGAGGATATATTAGTAGTATAGACATGACGACATGGTCAAAATAGCAAGATCTCACACGCATGCGCATGCACTTTGCTCTGATTGGCTGAAACAAAAGTATCAATATCTTTCTTGTTTTTCGACAAAATCCTTTGAAATTTTTAACATATTCATACACTATAAAGATCTACAGCATGATATATAGGAATAATCATAAAAACATGCGCATGCACGTGTGCTGCAATCTGATTGGCTGAAACTAAAGTCTCAATATCTTTCTTGTTTTTCGACAAAATCCTTTGAAATTTTGAACATAGTCCTACATTATGAAGATCTACTGCATGATATATAAAAATTTTAATGAAAGCATGCACATGCGCGCGTGCCACAATCTGATTCGCTGAAACTTTAAATGGCTATATCTCCTTTGTTTTTTGACGAAATGCTTTGAAATTTAAAACATAGTCATGCATTAAGATATCCTGCATTATGATATACAAAAAATTTCAAGAAATCACGCGGATGCACGTATGCTGCAATCTGATTGGCTGAAACTTTAAATGGTTATATCTCCTTCGTTTTTTGACGAAATGCTATAAAATTTAAAACATAGTCATGCATTCTGATATCGTAGAATATAATTTAGAAAACAAATCATGAAATCATGCGGATGCATGTGTGCTGCAATCTGATTGGCTGAAACTTGAAATGGCTATAACTCCCTTGGTTTTCAACCAAACAGGTTGGGATTTAGAACATAGATAGATATAAGGGCCTCCTACAAGAAAGTATGGTCATCATGCACGTGTACGTACGTGCGTGCATTTGGAACGAATGAAATAAAAAATACACTTGAATGAGTTATTTTAATACTTTTGGACTAAATGCTTTAATATATAATATTTTATTTATATATATATATAGAAAGTTTAGACAAGATGATATGATCATTACACACGTGCATTTACATGCGCAGCGTGCAATGTTAAGATTTGAATATAACTGGTATTCTTCTAGGAAAACGTTGTTAAAGTCAAAAATGCACAGATGTTGTCTTATTTAATAAGGCTTATTGGGAATATAGCACCAAAAGGGAGTTGGGGAGCGTTTGGGGAACATCTGTAACGGTTCCCGTTACAATTAGCACTAGTTTAGTTTTAATCTAATAATTCATTCTGTAAGTATAGTAGTTTTCTCTTCTGAAGTCCACATTATTTTAATAGTCAAAAGAATAAGCAGATTTCTTTTATTAGTAAATTAATTTTATCTTTTATACGACAGGTGTTCGGTAACAAACACACATGTTTTACGGCAATAAAAATCGTGTTTTTAAAATATTGATTTAAAACATCATACTTATGTGCAGAAAAAATGTTTTAATTATTTATTCGCTTATTTATTTGTTGTTTATTTATATTTTAGCATCTAACATTAGAATATAACAGAATAATTTAAATGCAAGGAAAAAATCTGAGGCATTCCGAAAAGATCGTTCATTTTACGTTCACCGTTCGTTCACCGTTCGTTCAGCGTTCGCTCACCGTTCAGTTGGGAAAGTAGAACGTTTCAGGGACTGTAATATTCTCACCTTGTGTGTTGATTTGATGTTGATCAGAAGTTCAGGGTCTATAATTCTAATACTCTAACCTTGTGTGTTGATTTGATGTTGATCAGAAGTTCAGGGTCTATAATTCTAATACTTTAACCTTGTGTGTTGATTTGATGTTGGTCAGAAGTTCACAGTCTATAATTCTAATACTTTGACCTTGACTGTTGATTTGATGTTGATCAGAAGTTCACGTTCTATAATTATAATACTCTAACCTTGTGTGTTGATTTGATGTTGGTCAGGAGTTCACAGTCTATAATTCTATTACTTTAACCTTGACTGTTGATTTGATGTTGATCAGAAGTTCAGGGTCTATAATTCTAATACTCTCACCTTCTCTGTTGATTTGATGTTGATCAGAAGTTCACAGTCTATAATTCTAATACTCTAACCTTGTGTGTTGATTTCATGTTGATCAGAAGTTCACGTTGATGTAGATCAGGAGTTCAGGGTCTATAATTCTAATACTTTAACCTTGACTGTTGATTTGATGTTGATCAGAAGTTCACGTTCTATAATTCTAATACTCTCACCTTGTCTGTTGATTTGATGTTGATCAGGAGTTCACAGTCTATAATTCTAATACGCTAACCGTGACTGTTGATTTGATGTAGATCAGGAGTTCAGGGTCTATAATTATAATACTCTCACCTTCTCTGTTGATTTGATGTTGATCAGGAGTTCAGGATCTATGAATGGCACTGGTGTCTTTTCCTTTTCTTTTTCCCCTTCCTGAAGAAAAACAATAGAAAATCCATATTATAGTAGGTTATTGTTAAATGAGGTATCTTCATTTCATAATTTTTCCCAAAACACATTAAACACTGATTGAACAGTTTGAATTTCTAATCAACCAAACACGTTTTCCTACCGCAAATAAAAACATTACATCTCCCAAAAAAACTGACACATTAAGGAAGTAAGCAAGCATGTCTCTGGTTATATGTCAAACAAGAGGCCCATGGGCCACATCGCTCACCTGAGAAGCATTGGCCATTCTGTTCTTTACCAGATTTCCCCCTTGAAATACATATTATGACCCCACCCTTCCAACTTATCATTATTTAAACAATTTGAAATCTAGACTACCCCAGGAAGCTTCCAAATAAGTTTCAGCTTTGATTTTCAAAGATTTTTTCTATATATTTCTATGTAAAACATTGATTCCCCATTGTGGCCCCGCCCAACACCCTACCCCCGGGGGTCATGATTTGAACAATTTAGAATCTACACTACCCTAGAATGCTTCCACATAAGTTTCAGCTTCTCTGACTCAGTGGTTCTTGAGAAGAAGATTTTCAAAATTTTTCCTATATATTTCATTGTAAAACTTTGATTCCCCATTGTGGCCCCACCCTACATGCGGGGGTCTTGATTTGAACAATTTAGAATCTACACTACCCTAGAATGCTTCCACATAAGTTTCAGCTTTTCTGACCCAGTGGTTCTTGAGAAGATTTTCAAAGAATTTTCCAATATATTTCTATGCAAAAAACTGATTCCCTATTGTGGCCCTGTCCTACCCCGGGGGTCATGATTTGAACAATTTAGAATCTTAAACAATATCCCAGGATGCTTCCACATAAGTTTCAGCTTTTCTGGCCCAGTGGTTCTTGAGAAGAAGATTATCAAAAATTTTTCTTAATATTTCTATTTTAAACATTGATTCCCCATTGTGGCCCCGCCCTACCCTCGGGGGTCATGATTTGTACAATTTAGAATCTACATTACCCCAGGATGCTTCCACATAAGTTTCAGCTTTTTTGGTCCGACGGTTCTTGAGAAGAAGATTTTCAAAGATTTTTCCTATATATTTCTATGTAACACAATGATTTCCCATTGTGGCCCAACCCTTCCCCTGGGGGTCATGGTTTGAACAGTTAAGAATCTACAGTACCCCAGGATGCTTCCACATAAGTTTCAGCTTTTTTGGTCCGGGGGTTCTTGAGAATAAGATTTACAAAGATTTTTCCTATATATTTCTATGTAAAACATTGATTCCCCATTGTGGCCCCGCCCTACCCACGGGGGTCATGATTTGTACAATTTAGAATCTACACTACCCCAGGATGCTTCCACATACGTTTCAGCTTTTCTGGTCCAGTGGTTCTTGAGAAGAAGATTTTCAAAGATTTTTCCTATATATCTCTATGTAACACATTTATTTCCCATTGTGGCCCCGCCCTACCCCACGGGGTCATGGTTTGAACAATTTAGAATCTACACTACCCCAGGATGCTTCCACATTACTTTAAGCTTTTCTGACCCAGTGGTTCTTGAGAAGAAGATTTTCAAAGATTTTTCCTATATATTTCTATGTAAAATATTGATTCCCCATTGTGGCCCCGCCCTTCCCCCGGAGGTCATGATTTGTACAATTTAGAATCTACAGTACCCCAGGATGCTTCCACATAAGTTTCAGCTTTACTGGCACAGTGGTTCTTGAGAAGAAGATTTTTTAATGACCCAACCCTATTTTTGTCTTTTCTTGATTATCTCCCCTTGCAAGGGGATATGCCCCTTCATTTTAAAAATTAATTTCTCCTTCACCCAAGGATGCTTTGTGCTAAGTCTGGTCAAAATTGGCCAAGTGGTTCTTGAGAAGAAGTCGAAAATCATAATGTGAAGAGTTTACAGACGGACAGCTAGACAGATGGACGACGGACAAGATGTTATCAGAAAAGCTTACTTGAGCCTTCGGCTCAGGTGAGCTAAAAATTAAACCCTGCAATGAGAGTTTTTATCCAATCCAAGGCTGTGTTATGTTTGATCCTGTTAATCTTAAGAAGGGTTGTGTCCTTGTCTCAATCTCATGCCTTAAAGGTCAAGGTTATTTGTTAACGAGATGTTGGAAAATCACTATACATAGTCTGTCAAATCTGTTGGTTTAATAACTTATGAAATACTCCGTATGTTGTGCGTCCAGGACATGAGAGAGGGTGTAGTCAACATCTATATTAAATGATCATCCAAATATAGACATTCTATGTTAGATAATAATTCATATATAGACATTCTAAGTTTGATGATCATTTGGTTGAAGCTCACTTTATAACTTACCAGTATTATCTCCCCTTCTCTCTTTTGTTTAGGTGAGATATATAACTTACCAGCATTATCTCCCCTTCTCTCTTTGGTTTAGGTGTGATGTATAACTTACCAGTATTATCTCCCCTTCTCTCTTTGGTTTAGGTGTGATGTATAACTTACCAGTATTATCTACCCTTCTCTCTTTGGTTTAGGTGTGATGTATAACTTACCAGTATTATCTCCCCTTCTCTCTTTGGTTTAGGTGTGATGTATAACTTACCAGTATTATCTACCCTTCTCTCTTTGGTTTAGGTGAGATGTATAACTTACCAGTATTATCTCCCCTTCTCTCTTTGGTTTAGGTGAGATGTATAACTTACCAGTATTATCTCCCATTCTCTCAATGGTTGAAGCTCACTGTATAACTTACCAATATTATCTCCCCTTCTCTCTTTGGTTTAAGTGATGAGATGTATAACTTACAAGTATTATCTCCCCTTCTCTCTTTGGTTTAGGTGTGATGTATAACTTACCAGTATTATCCCCCTTCTCTCTTTGGTTTAGGTGTGATGTATAACTTACCAGTATTATCCCCCCTTCTCTCTTTGGTTTAGGTGTGATGTATAACTTACCTGTATTATCTCCCCTTCTCTCTTTGGTTTAGGTGAGATGTATAACTTACCAGGTTTATCTCCCCTTCTCTCTTTGGTTTAGGTGTGATGTATAACTTACCTGTATTATCTCCCCTTCTCTCTTTGGTTTAGGTGAGATGTATAACTTACCAGTATTATCTCCCCCTCTCTCTTTGGTTTAGGTGTGATGTATAACTTACCTGTATTATCTCCCCTTCTCTCTTTGGTTTAGGTGAGATGTATAACTTACCAGGATTATCTCCCCTTCTCTCTTTGGTTTAGGTGTGATGTATAACTTACCTGTATTATCTCCCCTTCTCTCTTTGGTTTAGGTGAGATGTATAACTTACCAGTATTATCTCCCCTTCTCTCTTTGGTTTAGGTGAGATGTATAACTTACCAGTATTATCTCCCCTTCTCTCTTTGGTTTAGGTGAGATGTATAACTTACCTGTATTATCTCCCCTTCTCTCTTTGGTTTAGGTGAGATGTATAACTTACCAGTATTATCTCCCCTTCTCTCTTTGGTTTAGGTGAGATGTATAACTTACCTGTATTATCTCCCCTTCTCTCTTTGGTTTAGGTGAGATGTATAACTTACCAGTATTATCTCCCCTTCTCTCTTTGGTTTAGGTGAGATGTATAACTTACCAGTATTATCTCCCCTTCTCTCTTTGGTTTAGCTGAGATGTATAACTTACCAGTATTATCTCCCCTCATCTCTTTGGTTTAGATGAGATGTAAAACTTACCAGTATTATCTCCCCTTCTCTCTTTGGTTTAGGTGAGATGTATAACTTACCAGTATTATCTCCCCTTCTCTCTTTGGTTTAGGTGTGATGTAAAACTTACCTGTATTATCTCCCCTTCTCTCTTTGGTTTAGGTGAGATGTATAACTTACCAGTATTATCCCCCCTTCTCTCTTTGGTTTAGGTGAGATGTATAACTTACCAGTATTATCTCCCCTTCTCTCTTTGGTTTAGGTGAGATGTATAACTTACCAGTATTATCCCCCCTTCTCTCTTTGGTTTAGGTGAGATGTATAACTTACCAGTCTTATTTCCCCTTCTCTCTTTGGTTTAGGTGAGATGTATAACTTACCAGTATTATCTCCCCTTCTCTCTTTGGTTTAGGTGAGATGTATAACTTACCAGTATTATCTCCCCTTCTCTCTTTGGTTTAGGTGAGATGTATAACTTACCAGTATTATATCCCCTTCTCTCTTTGGTTTAGGTGTGATGTATAACTTACCTGTATTATCTCCCCTTCTCTCTTTGGTTTAGGTGAGATGTATAACTTACCAGTCTTATTTCCCCTTCTCTCTTTGGTTTAGGTGAGATGTATAACTTACCAGTATTATCTCCCTTTCTATCTTTGGTTTAGGTGAGATGTATAACTTACCAGTATTATCTCCCCTTCTCTCTTTGGTTTAGGTGTGATGTATAACTTACCAGTATTATCTCCCCTTCTCTCTTTGGTTTAGGTGAGATGTATAACTTACCAGTATTATCTCCCCTTCTCTCTTTGGTTTAGGTGAGATGTATAACTTACCAGTATTATCTCCCCTTCTCTCTTTGGTTTAGGTGAGATGTATAACTTACCAGTATTATCTCCCATTCTCTCAATGGTTGAAGCTCACTGTATAACTTACCAATATTATCTCCCCTTCTCTCTTTGGTTTAAGTGATGAGATGTATAACTTACCAGTATTATCTCCCCTTCTCTCTTGGGTTTAGGTGAGATGTATAACTTACCTGTATTATCTCCCCTTCTCTCTTTGGTTTAGGTGAGATGTATAACTTACCAGTATTATCTCCCCTTCTCTCTTTGGTTTAGGTGAGATGTATAACTTACCAGTATTATCTCCCCTTCTCTCTTTGGTTTAGGTGAGATGTATAACTTACCTGTATTATCTCCCCTTCTCTCTTTGGTTTAGGTGAGATGTATAACTTACCAGTATTATCTCCCCTTCTCTCTTTGGTTTAGGTGAGATGTATAACTTACCAGTATTATCTCCCCTTCTCTCTTTGGTTTAGGTGAGATGTATAACTTACCAGTATTATCTCCCATTCTCTCAATGGTTGAAGCTCACTGTATAACTTACCAATATTATCTCCCCTTCTCTCTTTGGTTTAGGTGAGATGTATAACTTACCAGTATTATCTCCCCTTCTTTCTTTGGTTTAGGTGAGATGTATAACTTACCAGTATTATCTCCCCTTCTCTCTTTGGTTTAGGTGAGATGTAAAACTTACCTGTATTATCTCCCCTTCTCTCTTTGGTTTAGGTGAGATGTATAACTTACCAGTATTATCCCCCCTTCTCTCTTTGGTTTAGGTGAGATGTATAACTTACCAGTATTATCTCCCCTTCTCTCTTTGGTTTAGGTGAGATGTATAACTTACCAGTATTATCTCCCCTTCTCTCTTTGGTTTAGGTGAGATGTATAACTTACCAGTATTATTTCCCCTTCTCTCTTTGGTTTAGGTGTGATGTATAACTTACCTGTATTATCTCCCCTTCTCTCTTTGGTTTAGGTGAGATGTATAACTTACCAGTCTTATTTCCCCTTCTCTCTTTGGTTTAGGTGAGATGTATAACTTACCAGTATTATCTCCCTTTCTATCTTTGGTTTAGGTGAGATGTATAACTTACCAGTATTATCTCCCCTTCTCTCTTTGGTTTAGGTGTGATGTATAACTTACCAGTATTATCTCCCCTTCTCTCTTTGGTTTAGGTGAGATGTATAACTTACCAGTATTATCTCCCCTTCTCTCTTTGGTTTAGGTGAGATGTATAACTTACCAGTATTATCTCCCCTTCTCTCTTTGGTTTAGGTGAGATGTATAACTTACCAGTATTATCTCCCATTCTCTCAATGGTTGAAGCTCACTGTATAACTTACCAATATTATCTCCCCTTCTCTCTTTGGTTTAAGTGATGAGATGTATAACTTACCAGTATTATCTCCCCTTCTCTCTTGGGTTTAGGTGAGATGTATAACTTACCTGTATTATCTCCCCTTCTCTCTTTGGTTTAGGTGAGATGTATAACTTACCAGTATTATCTCCCCTTCTCTCTTTGGTTTAGGTGAGATGTATAACTTACCAGTATTATCTCCCCTTCTCTCTTTGGTTTAGGTGAGATGTATAACTTACCTGTATTATCTCCCCTTCTCTCTTTGGTTTAGGTGAGATGTATAACTTACCAGTATTATCTCCCCTTCTCTCTTTGGTTTAGGTGAGATGTATAACTTACCAGTATTATCTCCCCTTCTCTCTTTGGTTTGGGTGAGATGTATAACTTACCAGTATTATCTCCCCTTCTCTCTTTGGTTTAGGTGAGATGTATATCTTACCAGTATTATCTCCCCTTCTCTCTTTGGTTTAGGTGAGATGTATAACTTACCAGTATTATCTCCCCTTCTCTCTTTGGTTTAGGTGAGATGTATAACTTACCAGTATTATCTCCCCTTCTCTCTTTGGTTTAGGTGAGATGTATAACTTACCAGTATTATCTCCCCTTCTCTCTTTGGTTTAGGTGAGATGCATAACTTACCAGTATTATCTCCCCTTCTCTCTTTGGTTTAGGTGAGATGTATAACTTACCAGTATTATCCCCCCTTCTCTCTTTGGTTTAGGTGAGATGTATAACTTACCAGTATTATCTCCCATTCTCTCTTTGGTTTAGGTGATGAGATGTATAATTTACCAGTATTATCTCCCCTTCTCTCTTTGGTTTAGGTGAGATGTATAACTTACCAGTATTATCTCCCCCTCTCTCTTGGGTTTAGGTGGGGGTGAGGACTTGACTGTGATCCCTGGGGTAGGGGGTAGTTTACGGCTTGGGACACCTCCCTGATATATCCTAAGGGTCCTGTCTGCGACGTCTATAGGGCAGGGTTTTTTCTAGGTCTTAAAAACAAGGGCCTGGGCCTTTCCAATTGGGAAAAATAGCGACATTTGGTTGATATTGGGAAAAGTATCATATTTGATATTTTTTCTATATAAATTCAAATAAGAGGGTTTTTGTTTTATTTGCAAAGTATTTCTTTGACATATTTTGCATTCAGTCAATCATTTTTGGGAGAATGCCTTTTAGATTTATATTTAGAACAATACTTTTGATAAAAATGTTACTGCATTTGAACATTTTTTAATCGGTTTGTTTGTTTCGATTTTCTTTTGGGAATTTTCTACAATGAAATTGGGAAAAATACATACTTTTTACCATTGGGAATGGGGCCTTATACAGGCCCCCTACGACCCCTAAAAAAAAACCCTGTAGGGACACCTAAAAATAAACTTCAACATATCACCAAGCTCACAAGAGTTAAGAAACCTAAAAATAAACTTCTCTTTTAAAACATCTATATCACTGAGCTCATACAAGTTACAGTTTGATGTAAAATAATTTGATAAGAAATGAGGTTGATTTCCCCCTGTGAGGTCCTAGCTATTTTAAGTTCAGTCTACTCATCACTTTTGAGTTTGATTTCCCCCTATGAGGCCCCACTGTTATTTATACAATAAATTCATCACTTATGAGATTAATTCCCCCTATGAGGTCCCCACTGTTATTTGTAGTCTCACAGGATGAAAATCCACCATTCAGTCGACTGAATGGTGGCTGAATGGCCACTGAATGGTCAATGAAAGGTCACTGAAAGGTCACTGAAAAGACCCTTTCCCGTGACCTTTCCGTGATCATTCAGTTACCATTCAGTCGACTGAATGGCACATACATTTCAGTGACCTTTCCGTGATCATTCAGTTGAATCATTTTATTGAATAATCGGCTTATTTTTTAACCTAAAAATTTTATTTCACTTTTTCCTGGTATAATAGCATTAAATGTATCTAATTCCGAATAAAAAAAAAATACGAAAAAATTAATACAAGAAAAAAAAAATTTGAACCCATGCACAGAATCGAACCCGGGTCTCCTGCGTAGGTGTCCGCGACCTTATCAATTACGCTACGACTTCTTGTTGACAAATGAAGATTAAAAATCAATTAATTTATTGAAATCGATGGAACAATCAGTTCACCTGTTGTATCGAGGAGCTGCGATGTGTATATATCTTGTATATCTTTTGTATATTCTATGTTAGTTGCGCGGATTTTTGGGACAGACTAATTAATTACACATCTCCTATCGGGATAATGACAATTATCAGAGACGGGCACCTGTTACTGTGTCAAAGATTTAAGATCGTTGTAAATTCTCTAGCTAGAAACTTAGTAGAATGATTTTATTAAAGCAATATCATTTAGAAAGCTAAAATCTCCTATATATTTTTTTTCTACAAGAGGCATGTATAAACGATTTGTTTATTCTTGTAATTAAAAATTAATTTAAAATAATGTCTTTGAAAAACTAAATATCCTGCAGTTTTGACAATGACATAATTAAGAAACGAAATTGATCAGTTATACTTGCGATCTTCCAGAAATGGTTTAAATAATATTAATTCTGTCTCATTAATCAGAACTATTTATTTCCATGAAAAAATACACATATAAACACTATAGAATGTTATGCATTTATTGAAATTTTGAATCCGTTATCGGATCATCATTTTTTATCACTTGAAGAATTTATTTTCTTAATGTAACTAGAAATATTCAATTAAAAATCATTTTGAATAAGTCTCACATATTTTATTTTGGGGATAGACAAATTAATTACACATCTCTTATAAGGATGATGACAATTATCAGAGACGGGCACCTGTTCCTGTGTCAAAGATTTAAGATCATTGTAAATTCTCTATCTAAAACTTAGTAGAATGATTTTATTAAAGCAATATCATTTGAAAGCTAAAATCTCCTATATATTTTTTTTTACAAGAGGCATGTATAAACGATTTATTTATTCTTGTAATTATCAATAATAATTACCTAGACATATTTTAAGGTACCCGAATTTGATCACGATAAGTAAAAAAAACACAAGTAAGATTGAATAATAAATCTTTATTTAAAATATGGCTTCCTTGTTAAGGAAAAATATCTGATTATAAAATAATACGCTAGTGAAAAAATTACTAAATTGCGATTTAAATATCACTGAAAGGTGGCGGAAAGGTCACTGAAAGACGACAGAAAGGTCACTGAAAGTCGACGGAATGGTCACTGAAAGACGACAAAAAGGTCACTGAAAGTCGACGGAAAGGTCACTGAAAGACGACGGAAAGGTCACTGAAAGTTGACGGAAAGGTCACTGAAAGTTGATGGAAAGGCCACTGAAAGTTGACTGAAATGTGTCTGCTGAATGGTGACTGAAAGGTATCTGAAATGTGACTGAAAGGCAACTGAAAGGTCACTGAAATGTATGTGCCATTCAGTGGCTGAATGGCCACTGAAAAGTTACTGAAAGCCGCCTTTCAGTTTTAACTGAAAGGTCTTGTTTCTTCCTGTGTCTACTCATCACTTAGGAGATGAATTTCCCCTATGAGGTCCCCACTGTTAATCATACAGTCTACTCACCACTTATGAGTTTGATTTCCCCCTATGATGTCCACACTGTTATTCATACAATAAAATCATCACTTATGAGATGAATTCCTCCATTAGGCCCAACTGTTAATCTACTGTCTACTCATCACTTATGAGATTAATTTCCCCTATGAAGTCCCCACTGTTTATCATACAATAAAATCAACACTTGTGAGATTAATCCCCCCTATGAGGTTCCCACTGCTGATCATACAGTCTACTCACCACTTATGAGGTTGATTTCCCCCGTGAGGTCCTCGCTATTTATAGTACAGCTGAGGTCAAGGTTGGCTGGGGCCAGTACCATGCCCCCATTCTCAGTGAGGGTGAGCTGTAACAGAGAGACACAGATCCCATCAGCACTGCTGTTATCAGTGGGAACCGCCCGGATGTTACCATCTACACCAAGACCTGTGAATCAAACAAAGATGGTTTCTTAATTTTACAAATTACAGCTTGTTTTTATTTCCCTGGTTTTTTTTTTTTTTTTTTTTTTTCCTCATTTATTTCCCAGACCTATAACAATTAAACAGCTGATAAGTTGGGCAGCTGCCAGGGATGGGGCCCTGACTAAGCTCCCTCTATAACAATACATAATAATAATCCCTACAGCACCACGCAGGGTGCTTTATTATTTAGATACAAAGTCACACATAATTTTACATCTAATACATATTATAAATCAAATAATATACGTATATATAAATATGGAATCAGTTTTGGTGAAAATATGACAATAAAATGTAAATATATAACTATGAAAACATCATTGTATTATTATATAAATCTGTACTTAGGAAAACAGGTAACAGTTAATCAAAGTCTGTAAGCATATCTAATGTTAATTTTAAATTTCTGTTGAAGTTACTCTTATTATTTCTTAGGAGTTGAAGGATTGATTTCATTTCTTTCTTGAAGTCACTCAAGAGTGCTGAATTTGTAATATTTTTATTTTCATACTTAATGCTGTTTCTTGTTTTCCATATTGACCACTTGTATAAATAAATCAAGGTGTTAATACATATTCGAACATTTTTGGGTTCTCCTGAGAATCCCAATAAAACAATACATACATCAACTTTGACTGAATTTACTACAGAGATTTTTAACATTATATTTTGTACCAATTCTAAAAGTGGTTTGACATGTTTACATTCATAAAATAGATGTTTCTGACTCTCAATATTTGATTTACAGAAAAAACAATTACCATTTGAAAAACCCATTTTGCTTAATTTTTCTTCAGTGTATAAAATGTTATGCAAACATTTCCACTGAAATTCTTGAATCTTTTGTTTTAACCTAACTTCATAAATTGAGCCCCAAATCTTTTTCCATGTAATTTCAATTTGCATCAGTTTCTCCCATTTTTGTTGGGATTTTGGAGTGATATTTTTGTTTAATACTTTGTATATTCTAACTTAAAGATATTAAACATTGTTAAACATTTCCTTTAACAGAAGGTTTTTATAAATTTCTTCCTGTTTCTGAATTTCTTGCATATTAAATGTTAGATACACCATGTACACTGTGTATGTATATGTCGTCAATTCAGTGTATAAAAATAGACTGACCATTGGTAGGAAAAACGTCAGTCAGCATTTGACTCAGTGATAAATTTTATTTGCTGACAAGGTCATTGTATCAACCATAGAACTTACGAAATGATGACTTTAAACGAGACAGTTGATATTCCTGTTTCATCAACTTGTTTGTCAATAATTTACCTTGTTTAGGAAATTGTTCATACGTAGAGCACACTCTTGCGTATCGAATCAACTGAGATATATATACTCCGTATGCAGGTGACGAAGGTATATTGCTGCATAAGTAAGGGAATTTAACGATAGAAAAGTTAAAGCCATCGCATAAAACAATCCATAGGGTTCTTAATGTCAACATGGTGTGTAAATTTGAAGCAAGAAAAACGTTGGAAAATTAAGTTTGAGTTTTTCCATTTTATCATTATGGATTATTTTTTAATTAGGATAAAAATCATATATATATAATATATAATCTCAAAAAGGTTTGCTATGATTAATTTGGTCGTAAGTTATTTCCAGTGTATTTTATTCTGTATTCTTCAAAATCATTTGGTAGCGGATCCGCGGTGATTTGCTACGGGACATATTCTAATTGTGGTGAGGGGATAAGAGCTTGTCCTGCCCAGGAAACAGTCAGATTATTCAAACTAAATTGTTCCCAGCTTGTTTAAATGCCTTAATGCTACAAAAATATATGTAGAGTTAAACAATGCCATAGATGGCAATGCGATCAACCTGATATATTTCTGTGTGGAGTCTCTAACAAACTAATTTTCAGGAACCAAAAGAACCATGAGTGATGATGTGAGTTCTACTTCATATAATTGTTTACCTAGGAGGAGACTCACTGGGTCATTCAATGCATCCCCACCACTACCCCCCTGCCTTCTACTGCGCCCTCCCTTTACGAAATTCCTTGATCCACCACTGAAGTTCTACATCGTATAATTGTTTACCTATGAGGAGAACCTGTCCGCGTCCATGGACCGTGACGATGAAATCGTGCGTGACATCCCTTATCGTATACAAGTCTTTTGTTTTCCCAGAATCTGTCATTTTACCAATAATATTTCCTTCGTCTCGCTTCTCATTTTCCTCATATCAGTCACATGTTTGAAATTTCCCTTCTTTTGCTGAAGAGCTACTTTCATTTTCGTTGGCGGGAAATTTTCGAAATTTTAAAAACAAAGGTTCAATTCGTATTATTAATTCAACGATGTAATTCTATGTAAAAAATAAACAATTGTACAAACTAAAGACTTTCAAAACATGAAATTTATTACGGATTTTAATAGATTATAAATTCAATGGTCTAAATATAATAAAAATGTGAGTGGAACTCTGTAAAATTACGCTTTATTTGAATAAAAACTTTTCCGACTCATGTTCCATTTTTTAATCATCACAAAAATTTACATTTAGACCACAGGTGCTTGAGGACAGGACCCCCCCCCCCCCCTCCCCCAATATAGACCCCCGGACCTGTAAGACTTTTTTCACATAAATTTTATATGGACGACACATTTGTGATATAATCTATCCTATCAGTTCAGAAAATTTGCTTAAACTTACATTTTATCAAAAATATCTACTCCCTATGTATATATTTCATATAGAGAATGTAGGGTAGATTTCATAGAACATTTGATTTAGGTAATTTTTCGATTTGCTGGTATAAATCTTATCACAAATATGACAATGAAAGATTTTTTATGAGAAAAAAAATCGAAAAAGCCCAGGGGCTCGTTTCTCAAAAAGTCGTAGATTTGGGCCTAAGTTAGTCCAACTAAGAAAGTTACGCCAAAATTTAGTCGGGCCTAAATCACGTTTCAGAAAACGGCGTACGTACGTAAGACTGGGCCTAGGACTAAGACCTTTCCGCTAGGTACTAAGCATGCGCAGATCATATTTTATTTGGTTTCGAGAGTACAATAACATGCGGTGGATCACACTTTAACCTGATTACAAAAAGTAAAGCACGAAAAGCACGAATTTTCCCTGGCTTTTTATCGTCTTTCAAACAAATATAATACATGGATCTATCTGTATTTTCTAGGTCAAAGCATTTACATACTAGCTAGAATAAGGGTATTCAGAAATCTTGACAAAAGGGCCAGATTGGGGTTGGGTTAGGGGCCCACAGTCACACAAAAAATTGATTGAGCAAATCTTTTATTTTGGTCCCATCCCCCTCCCCCTCTACAACCACAACTTTTATATTAAATACATGTAGTTATGTATTTTGGTATGCACAGATAAATTTTAAATGTGAAATATATACTATAGAAAAATATAAACGTGTATGTATACCCGGTATTATACGTACTTGCGAAAATTTGGAATGAAAAGAAATTTTTCTATGAGTAAAAGCCATAACTTATATGGCATGGGGTTGGAACAGACTCGTAGCTCAATATATTTGAAAGTCGTGGGGGTGCAACCAGTATCTCAGGGAAGTTTTTCTCTAGTTAAAATACTTTACGCAGAGAGAGTAAAGGACCGGAGCCCCCGACCCATAGGCGCACTGTGAAAATTTAAAAGTTAAAGTCATCACGTTTATCATATAGCTGGGTTGTTAGATTACCATTAGTGTCTTTTTCAAGTAAAATATCCAAGTATGAAACAGAAATGTCAGACTCTGTGGTATCTTTTATCTCAAGCTCACCAGGATATATCGTATCGACGTAGGAATGGAAATTACATGTATATGGAAACGTATATTGCTGGTGGAAGAATTGAAAAAGTCGCAGCAGATATAGCCGGTGTAACGTTGAATTTTGACCCGAGTTGAAAATTGACCCGGGGGTCATTTTTCAACGTTGAATACAGAGACCAAAGGTGTTGAATTTAGACCCTAATCCGTTGAAAACTGAGCCGGGTCGTGGAATTTTGATCATGAAACCGGTTCAAAATTCAACAGCATAAAAACACATATTAATGAGTGGGTTTTCACTACTGTGATTTAATTCATAGGTATGAGGCCCCATTTTTGGTATTTACTGCAAAAATTAATATCCCCTATTTGAATAAGTGATATCACCTGTTCCAATAGATGATATCACTTATTTGATTTGAATTTGTGATATCACCAATTCGAATAGCTGATATCACTCATTCGAATTTGTGATATCGCCTACTCGATTGGGTGATATCACCTTTTCCCGTCGAACAGCTGTAGTTCTTTTTTTTTTTTTGCTTACAAATTAATTTATTTCAGTTATATATTATGTAAACAACAAGAAAATAGTAGAAAACGCAATAAAACTGGGTAGTCCGAATTTTCTTGATTCCAGTGGTAATCTATATATTATAGGGAGCATTCATTAATGACTGTTGTAAAAAATTCAAATAGGTAATATCACCTTTTCGAGTAGGTGATACCACTTATTCAATAGGTGATAGCACCTATTTAGCACGAAAAGGTGATATCACCTTTTATTCTAAGCTCTCTGATTGGCTCAAACTTGATCACATGATTAAGTATATAACAGCATAAAGACTTGAGTTATTATTTATAGAATCTGAAATGCATATTTTTTTTCTTGTGATCATATGCTACATTGCAGGAGTCCTTTTAGAAAATTTCATTAAAGTGACTAGGAATAATGATAAAGTTCGCCTTGTTTTCTCATAGAACAAGTGTTAAAATGGAGATTTTTTTTTTAAACAGACGAGTATTGATTTCTCAGTTAAAGATAATACAGAGTATGACTTGATGTTTCTGAAAAAAAATTACTACAACTTGTATTAATATTTTTTAATGTTCCGTAATTGATGAGATGTAACAATGCCTTAAAGTCTTGAATTAGGATCTACATGTACATTATGTTAAAGCATATTGGGTATCTTTGTCAAAAATTGATACGAGACATAATCAAATAATTAAATTACTATTCTGAATAACTAAATCCTCTATAATTACTCCATCAATGTATAAAACGAAACACATTTATTTAATATTAAACAGCAACAGCTTAATTTATGCTGATATCTAGTCTCTAAGTCTTGAAGAGGGAAAACTTGTGCCTTATTCCCATATTTTCAAATTTTGTTTCGTCAATCTATGTGATAAAATTATTTATATTCGATAATAATGTTAAATTTTACATTCCTATTTAATTGAGTTTACAACCAATTCTAGTTTAATTTGTCATATTTCCCAGAATGCAATCTTGGCAATTATTGAAAAAGAATAAAAAAAAACATCGCATAGGAGATCATAGAGATAAAATTATGTAATAAGATGAGAAGTTTATCGAATAAGAATCGTATTTTTTCGAATAGAAATGGATGCTAGTATGTTTTCGAACAACAACTTTATTGCATATAAACCAAATTATTATCGAACAAAAAAGATAAAATTATCGAATAGGAATGACAAAATTAGCGACTATCAACCGATTGTTTTAAATATTAATGGCATCGAATAAGAAACGCGTGTTTTCGAGAAAAAAAATATGTAAATTTTATGATATATGAATCATATTGTCACATTTCCTGTAATTGGAATAGCAATTTATCGAATACAAATTACAAATTATGGAATAGAAATAACAAGTAATCAAATAGGAATCACATTCTATAGAATAAGATTGTTTTAGAATAAGAATAATCTCATTCTCAAGGTTATGGTCCGAAAGCGATCAATTTTCAAGCCGAGACAGGCTACTGACAAATAAGTTAATTGTTACAGGGATTTCAACAATTTATTTAAAGTCAGCATTACTTACATGCTATGGTCGCTATATTGCTCTTTTCACAAATATAACCTATTATTGGAATCATTTTGGTCGATCTGTTTCATTCTAATATTTAGGCTATAAATTTTGTTATTTTTATACTGAATTTGACTAGATGGGATGTTCCACCCACCTGATCAATATAATTATATATGGCTCACTTTCTAGACAGCAGATTTTTAAGATTTTTGTTTTATGCCATACTCGTTGTTTTGTAGTTAATTATGAATACCATGGATTTTGGAAAGTATTATCAAAAATAAAGTTGTCATGCTTGAAGATAACTGAAATCGTGCACTGATCAAAATGTACATGTATACACGGGGTGATACTGTATGTTTATTTCTATTTTTGAAAAGGGAAAAAAATTGAAACTGAAATATAAATAAAGTGATACTGATAAATCCCGTAAAACAACTTCCCAGCTAAAAAAAATGTTCGAACTTTGAGGTGGGGTCAATATTCAACAGGGTCAATTTTCAACTTGTTGACGTCATCAGGTGTAAGAAAAAAATTATCAAGCTGTTGAAAAATGACCCCGGGTATAAATTCAACGACTTTTGGTCTCAATATTCAACGTTGAAAAATGACCCCGGTTCAATATTCAACGTTGAAAAATGACCCTCGGGTCAATTTTCAACTCGGGTCAATATTCAACGTTACACCGGCCCATTTCCTAAAACTTCAAATGACAATGTATATATTTTAGTTATATCGGACTAGTTTACAATTTTTGCGGAGATTTTTCCTATACCGAACATGGAAGCAAAAACAACAGCTACAGCCTTTTTCCGGGGATGGATTAAAAGATACGGATATCCATATGAATTTCATAGTGATCAATGTGTACAATTTGAAAGTTTAGTGTTTCAACATTTGTGTTCAATGCTTGATATTGCGAAAACAAGGACAACTGCATTTCATCCTCGATCTGACAGAATGGTGGAAAGACTAAACAGAACAATTAAAGAGATGTTGTCTAAATATATAAATGTGAAACAAACTGACTGGGATGATTACATTGATTGTGTTGTTATGGCTTATAACTCTTCAATACACGACACAACTGGGATTACACCGTACCGCATGATGTTTGGTTCGGAGATGACTGTACCCGTAGATTTACAAACAGAATCACTGGAAATCGGAAAAGGAGAAAAGATAACAGAAACGAAATATGTGAAAAGTTTGTGTAAAAGCACGAGACAGAACTTTGGGAGCTGTCCGGAGGCAAAAGAAAAATTACGATAAAACTGCCGTACGAGAAACTTACAATGAATGTGATATTGTGAGAAGATTTCAGCCAAAACAAATAGTGGGAACGAAGCTTAAATTAGCTCGGAACTGGAC